GTGTATACAATTCAAAAGTATGTGCTCAATTGTGAGTCTTGCATTACCACAAAATTCACAAGTAGGGGGATTTTGTGAAGACATCAGGTAACCATGGGTGAGTCGGGAGTGGCCTATTCTGAGTCTTCTTATAACACTTTTGTTCTTTCTTGTCATTGGGGGCAGGTCCAGCGCAGAAACTGTGGGTTGGATTGTATGTAGTTTGGTGGCACATGTGTTCCAATGTGTTTGCCATGTTTGTATCATCATTTATCGAGCTGCTGATTTCAAGTCTTGATGAAGTTGGATTTGCTCCTCTGGCAATTCGGAGAAACAAGCTTGTTTTGCTGCTTGGTCTGCACGTTCGTTGCCCGTAATTCCTACATGAGAAGGGATCCAGATGATATTCACAAGGACATCTCTGGTACGATGGTGGTTGCAGGTGTCGAGGATATCTTGAACCAAAGGATGATGTGAGTAACAATTTTTGATAGAGAATATTTAGTTAAGCTGTGTGTATACTACAGACATTGGGAAGTTTGTATGCTGCTGTTTTCGCAAAGCCACGACATAAACTGGCGCGATCGTTCAGATTTGTCGAAAGAAGTTTCTATCGCAGTGATTTCGGTTCGTATCAACGATTCATTGGCAACAACCATCAGTTAAGATTTTGGAAAACCTGCCGAAAAAGGAGAAAAATTGCCAACTCAGACTTCACGAAGACCAGGGACAGAAGACAATCATCGCTGGAACTCCTATTAGCAACCTAGAAGTAAGAAAAGCTAGAAGTAAGATAACTAAGAAACAAGTGATTTGTATGTATGTATATATTTTTTGTGTATATTAGAACTTGCGTTTTGAATCATCTCAATGTATGACTCATTTGCCATCTTCTGTCGATGTCTGGAGTTTTACAACTGGACTCAGTTGAAAAACTACATGTCTGGAGTATAAAACAAAGTCGCTTCCCGCTGTCTGTCCGTTTGTATGCTTAGATTTCAAAAATTACGCAATGGGTTTTGATACGAGTTTGATACGGGTTTGTTATAGATAGAGTGATTCTACAGTAAGGTTCATACTTATATAACATGCATACAAAATATAGCAAAGAAACATTGATGATTTTGAAGGTTAGTTATGGGACACGTGTGACCTGAATGCTCTCTAATACGCCCACCGTACGCTTCCCTGGACGGATGCTGTATCAGACCGATAATTGATAAGCGTTTATATGAAACTAATTGTAATGATGCTTCTCGCCACTCTTTATTTGTTCTTTGTGTTATACCGAATAAAGTAATTTGTCAATTTCAAATTTATCATCTTTTTTAAAAAAAAATATTTATTAATATTAACGTGTCTTGGCTTCTAATGACCACTGACACGGGATCTGTGGTACATTTACATAATAATTCTTAACATAAAAATCAGATTGAATGAAACAGTCGACAGTCCTTGAGGAACTGTATCACGACACTGAGCTGGTTAGGTAGGCCGAGAATGTCTTTGAAAGTTCCACTGAGTTTGTGTTTGCGGCAAGTTGGGCTGTAGTGTATGCAATTTAAAAGTATGTGCTCAATTGTGAGTCTTGCATTACCACAAAATTCACAAGTAGGGGGATTTTGTGAAGACATCAGGTAACCATGGGTGAGTCGGGAGT